ATGTATGTATGTATGTATGTACATGCGTGGAATTGCAAAAGACGGAGGTCACGTAGGTTCGTTTACCTTACATTTTCGCTTCTGATTTCGAGCTCATCGTTAAGAAAAACATTCTTATTTACTTTAAATACCTTCAGGATTATTTTGTGCCTCCAAAATCTTCAGGATCTTTGCAAATCGTTGAAATCATAGACATCGCTCACAAGTTCAAGAAAAGGCGACCATTTTGACTTGAAATGGTGTGATCGCGCAATGTCGTCATTTAGGCCACATTGAAGCATCCCACGTGTAACTGGCCAGTTTTCTCATCACGTTGGAGCACAAGCGCGCGCGAAGCCGCGGGCGCGAATTCGAGCGGCGAACCCGCGAGACGAGAAAGCTGAATTTTTTTTGTTTAGGATAGATCGTTACTGGTTTTGTTGTACCGTTTTGTGGTCGAGGACTAGACAATTTTAATATTGTCTAAACTGTTTATAAGTTGAGTTTTCCACTTGACCGCAGGACACCTACCTGTCTAAGTGCATTTTAACTTCATCATTTCTGAAATGTTTGGACCTTCTCGAAAAGAACAATTAGACCGTTTCAATTGATTCTAAATTGTTTGCAACGTTTGTATTTTTGGCGGTGACGGCGGCCCGTAGTTAAAGGTGAGCCTGCTCGCAGGCTAAAGTTTTATGTCCCAACATTTCAGGGGAAACGAAAATAACCCGATTTTTTTAGAAAAAAATTTAGTCATCACCCTTCAAGTGTTCAAATATAAAGAGCGTGACGCGACGGGAATGATATTTAAACACAATGAGATCGAAGCAAATAGTGTACGGAGAACCAATTACTACCAAGAATTTTGTTATAGGTACGATTAAGGCATTAATGGTGGAGTTGATGAGGTGTAGAGGGTACTTAAAAAAACACAGACTTCAAGCGCTCACACTCATCCGAAAAACATATCCAAGACGAGGATAAATGGTACGCACGATCAAACATAGTTTTTAATAAGCTTGGTTTGTACCGGTTATCGACACCACTCTCGTAACGAAGAAGTAAATCGGAATTTAACGTAAACCCTAGTTGCTCTCGTTTATCTATTTCTTGATAATGGTGTCAAGTTTCGATCCGTCTGTTGTTAGTCAAATTGGTCGGTTTTTGGTCCGTCTATTGTTGGTCAATTAAATTAAGTCGGTCTGTTAGAAGTCCTTCTGTCGGTTTCGTTTCCGTCGTGGATAAGTCGTTTGTAAGACGCCGGTAGTTGTTGACATCTGTCAAGAGGCGTTTGTTCTAGGCCCGGGGGGGGGGCACTGCCATATATGGACTATATAGGTATGTGAAGGGTATGGTTTTCAAGCAGTTTACTCTAGGATAGGGTATATAAATCAGAGCGTTTGGGTCTAGA